TCTCTTCTCACAAAGCCATATCCCCCCCCCCTCTCAAAACACACCCGAAATGCAACAGGCCTCAGTTTAACAACCAATAAAATAATCCCCACTACTCTCGTGGCCACGTCCTTTATCTGATCGGGATGTCATTTTTTAAGACATATTAAAATCTCTTGACAAGCTGGCGTCCTTTAGTGAACATGTTCTTCAATGGCCACGTCACTGCTGCGGGTGGGGGATGGGGTTGGGGGAGGGTTCTGATTTGAGAATCTGATTGTTAATGCAGATCTGGTTGTTGGTTTTTTTCTTCTGATTGATAAAACGAGCATTTTTTTTGGTTATTTTTTTTTTAAAAGATTACTTTTGTTATTAAAATTAGCTTTTTTTTTTTTTTTCCTTTGGTAAAAACGGAGAAAACTGCAATCAGATTAGTTAGAGGGAGTTTGAAGAAAATATGGAAAATAAGTGGGTGGAAAACCTGAATAAAGGACCAAATAAAACAACGAANATGTTCTTCAATGGCCACGTCACTGCTGCGGGTGGGGGATGGGGTTGGGGGAGGGTTCTGATTTGAGAATCTGATTGTTAATGCAGATCTGGTTGTTGGTTTTTTTCTTCTGATTGATAAAACGAGCATTTTTTTTTGTTATTTTTTTTTTAAAAGATTACTTTTGTTATTAAAATTAGGGTTTTTTTTTTTTTTTCCGATGGTAAAAACGGAGAAAACTGCAATCAGATTAGATAGAGGGAGTTTCAAGAAAATATGGAAAATAAGTGGCTGGAAAACCTGAATAAAGGTCGCAATAAAACAACGAACGTGTCGATCAGAAGCCTTTCTTCAGCGAACAGTAATAAAGAAAGAAAAAATGTATCTCAATAAGAACATAGCTGAAATTTTGTAACCAATAAGAGGACCGCAAGAGTAATGAAGTGGACCAATAGTATATAAGGGAGTTAATATAGGCAAAAGGGGAAGAAAGGGAGGAAAAGGAAGTATAAGGCACTTGGTAGTTGTAAACAGGAGGGGGCGGAGAAATGCTACAACTAGGGAATGTCACGTTTCTCCTCACAATATGTACTAATGATATCTAGAGTCCAAGCGACAACGTTCCAATCATTACAATTTCTGATGATACCACCATCGTTGGAGTAATATCTGAATGGTGAATGGGGAAATATTACACGGCACATAATACAATGCTTCACATTTGAAGGCAACAACCGCTCATTTTAAACATCTAACTCACCTAACAATGCCGGCTTTAAAATTAAATGAATGAAATAGCGAAACGTGGTACGTGGAAACTTGAAATAAGATAACAGGACAAAAAAACAAGGACGTTTCGGCATAAAGCCTTCCTCAGCTAACAATAGAAATGAACATATAACAAAGAAAAGAGCATAGTAGACAACTCAAGCAGTATCCACTCGTGTCTCCGGAAGTTTACTAAGCTTTCATCTGCTAAGCTTGAAAGCAGTCCTTTCATTTATATTTTAAAATTAAATAAATGTGTCCATTAAAAAAGCCAATCTGGCAACTAGAGTGTTCACATCGGAGAAGAGGGGCTACAGCGGTGTTCCCAACCTCTTTGGAGCCATGCCCCGCCTAAGCCTTTCTAAAATTCCTATGCCCCCTTAGGTAGTATAAACACATTTTTAATATTCAAAATTTAAATTGTTTTCAACACTTCAAAACGCTTATTTTAAATTTTAAATTGAGACTCTAACGATTCTTTTTTTAAAATACAAGTTAAATCGTAGTAGACCATGGGCTTTCAATTTCCGGACGGATTTTGTTTCTTCAAATCGCCTACCCCCCCCCCCTTAACAATCAAATAGCCCCCCCCCCCTGTGTGGCGGGGGCCCCACGTTGGGGGAAACAAAGGACTACAGCGACTAACGATTCTTTTTTTAAAAAACAAGTCAAATCATAGTAGACCATGGGCTTTCAATTTCCGGACGGATTTTGTTTCCTCAAACCGCCTCCCCCCCCCCCCTTAACAATCAAATAGCCCCCCCCCCCTGTGTGGCGGGGGCCCCACGTTGGGGGAAACAAAGGACTACAGCGTAGACAAGCACGATTCATATGTCTGATCAGATCCTTTGATGTCGAAAATGATATGAATCGGTATGGCTTATTTTTGCGCGACACACCTACACTCTGCAGGCAACTGCACACATACACCTTGCAGGCGACACAAATAAAAACAAGACCAAGGCTAGTGATGCTAACACTATTCAGTTTAATTATACGATTACATTTCTATAAGATTACAAATTTTAATGCGACTACAGAGAAATTATTTTTTAAAATATCTACTTTTAGCAAGTGAAAAGGTGCACTCGTCAAATTACAAATAATAATTGACACACACAATTCTATAACGTATCGCATTTGTTAGGGAACATAGCAAAAATGGCTCTCCCTCCGCGAGGAAACCTGACGGACTACATATAAAGGGATTAAATCAGAAACATGTAGTAAATAAATTCTAGAAATTGCATCACCTGATAGGATTCTTTGCGCATTCGAACGTAAACAACATTTTCCCAATCAAGAGAGGGATGGGTAAGGAAATGACACATCACATTTACTCGGTGACATCAATATCATAGCAAAACAACAAGGGAGACAAGTGGTGGTCGTTCAAGTTAGGCCTAGACACTTGACATAACAATAGCTAATTCCAAAAGTAAAATCAAAGTGCAGGGAGAGTAATCGGCGGAGTTCCAGATGAGTCAGATCCTCCGACAAGGAGACTCACTATCATGTGCACTGCTCGACTTCACAGTAGGCGAAACGTACATAAGAACACCGGTGAAACTATCAAAAAAATTGCTTCCAGAGAAACATTACAGAACCAAAACCACCAAGAACATTACATACCCAAGCATTCCAGACCGAAGTATCTGACATACGTGGACGAGATAGCTTTACTGGACACAAATAGCAATAATATCAATGATAAAATAATTTAATCACCCCCACATACTTTGATTTAAATATAAACATAATAAAGCAAAGACAAGGTATAGTATGGCATAGGGTAATGTCACATAGGAGACATATAAATGATAGCATATAAATAAACTACCACACATTTGAGAAAGTTGATATTTTCAAATACCTAGGACCTACCACAAATGAGCTCAATGAAATAATGACGGATGCAAACGAAAAGGTAACATCAGGCAATCGTTTACATTTCTGTCTTCAGACACTACAAGGAAGTAGAAAAAATTGCAAGGAAAGCAAATGAAACCATAAACATCCCTGTTATAAGATCGGTGGTAATCTATGCACGTGAGACATCGCACCTTGCCTAGAAAGCCGAAAACCACTGCCCAAGACGCGGGAGAGGGAAATCGTCAGCAAAAATATACGACCCGCAGTGTTGGCCAATGATGGATGGAGAATTCGTACAAACCAATTGTTCAAAGACCCAGGCATCGCTGGACAGGACACCGGGAGAGGACGCAAGATTACAGAGCGGCCAAAGTAGGGTATAACGGACCAGAGGCGTAGCGAGGGGGGGGGGTGGGGGGACAGATGTCCCCGGGTGCCTGCTAGTTAGGGGTGCCAAAAGGTGCTTTGATAAGGACGCAAGATTACAGAGCGGCCAAAGTAGGGTATAACGGACCAGAGGCGTAGCGAGGGGGGGGGGGTGGGGGGACAGATGTCCCCGGGTGCCTGCTAGTTAGGGGTGCCAAAATGTGCTTTGATATTATTTTATTGATGAAAATAATCGGTTTGTAGAGTTGAAAAAATGAAAGGGGGCGCTTTAAAATGAATCTTGTCCCTGGGCGCAAATCTTGTCCCCGGGCGCCAAACACTCTCGCTACACCTCTGTAACGGAAAAAAAAAACATCCGACAGAAGCCCACAGGTCGACCAAGACTGCGAGGGGCCGATGATGTAGAGATGGATTTATCTTAGCTGGTAGTCCGAACAATATGGAGACGACAGCCATGGGTCTATCCGAATGGAAGGGAGTGGTGGAGCAGGCCCCATCCCAACAAGGGCTGTAGTGCTACTTGTGATGTTAAATACAGTGGTATCACCAAGTGGGGTGGACTCATGGTGTCTCCCCCCCTTCATACTTCCCCATGGACCTCCTAAAGCCTAAAAGTCTAACTGCAGAGCCGTTCTTAGGAGTTTGGGGGCCCTAAGCATGGAGCGTAGGTTGGGGGCCCCGGAAGGGGGGGTTCCGGGGTTGGAGATCCCTCGAGCTGAGGAGAAAACACCACCCACCACTGCGGCACCTCCATTCTGCCTTCATCAATGTTTCCTCTTTCCCATTCCCACAGCCAAGCCCCCAATTTCCTGTCTGCCACCCCCAGCTGCTTCCCTTCCCTTGCCTCCGAATTCAATTCAGAATGATAAATTTCAGGATGAGGAAGGTAACGTGAGTGACACAGACGGCTGCAGTGCCAGTTAAAAAAACAAACAAACCGGGGGATCTAGAGCGCCTAACGGGGGCCCCCTCATGTTCGGGGCCCTACGCGGATGCGTAGTCAGCGTATGCCTAAGAACGGGCCTGCTAACTGCTCTGACTCTGGGTGCGCCCTGCTCTTGTATTTAACTCTTATCGGTTATGAAACCGTCACGAGTGAATTCTGTTGAATTTGCAATATACAATTGGAATTTGATTTCACCTTTTTTGTTAATAAGTGAAGTGAATTTGCGATCGGAAAAAAAATTATTGTGGCATGACAGCCGTTTAAGATTAAATAGATTGCAATTAATAACAGTGTAGTCTTGTGGAACATATATTTTCAAACTTAATTACCTCTGGCTTGATAAGCAATTGACCCACATACCAAATACCACATTTTTTAGGGTGAGCTGTGGTGTGATCGCTTTGGGGATATAATTTCCCAAGCTTTGTAGACTCAAATTGAAGATTGCCTTAGCCTTGCTATAACAGAATATTTAGTGTTGTTTATCGGACCTTTAACTGTTCTAAATTACCTCCCCTGTGAGCTTGACTCTTTTATAACAAGTGATTAAATATAGCCATATTTTGCCAACATGGCGGTTTACGACCAGATGAAGTTGTAAGTGGGCGTAAAATTATTTTAATTACCGGTATACAGTTATCTTTCTTTCTTGCAAATAAAATTATTGCAGTCAATTGTATCCTTCAAATTTGATGTCGAATTCGACCACCCCCCCAAAAATGACGTCTCACCTGACTATTTGAGTACTCTGATTTGTATGTCGCAGTTCAAGTCAAGTCACTTACTTTTCACTGTTGTCAGTGTTGTTGAAATTGCTCATTATTTTTAGTGACTTAACAGTCAGACTAACTCAGTCAATGGCTTTAGACCCCTCCTTTACTCCACTCCTCTACTTCTAAGACTTAGGGATTGGATACACATTTTTATTAAATTATTTTTTCTGTAAATTCATTAGCCATTATCATTAGCCTACCCCGTGTTTTGCACTACTTATACTTTTTCCCCACTATCGTCATCTTTGTTGTCATGATGGTAGATGTGTCATGGCAACCAATTAAGATGCAAAAAAATGTCTGTTAACATGGGGAGGGAAAAGGGAGAAATTGTGTTGTTTTAGCTACTTACCAGGAGCAATGAAGATTTAAGGAATACCGTAGGCCGTAGACGTAATTTTTTTTTAGAAAAACCTTCAATTCTAAAATCTAAACTTCTACCTAAGCTGTAAAAATGTAAAAAATGAAAAACAACAATACAAAATATTGAAAGCACAACTTACAGTTTCATAGAATGCACTTCTACACTACACACTTTATTTCAGGTTCAACCAAAAAGAAAATCCAAAAGTTGTCAGAAAAATCAATAAAATACAATACCATAACCATTCTCCAAAATGCTGGAAAATTTAAATGTTATAATTAACCAACCAATGAAATTCTAATTTAAAACAATCCATTGTCGCATTAAAGAAAATGTAATTTTAGTAACAATCAAAGAATAAACAAAAGGGAGAGAATCCTACACAGCAACTCATTGTGGCATGGGTTGCAAAAATTGACCCAAATATGCAATATCATTGAATACACATTTACACACTTTTTTTGCAATGTTAAGGTTCCACCAAAAATAAAATCTAAAAAGATGTAAGAAAAATCAAAATCCATCTTTCAAAATGATTAGACAGACATACCAGCAAAATAGCATTGTTTTTAAATATTAAAATTAACCACTCAATGAAATGTTAATTTAGAAAAAATCCATCAATCAAATACATTCCAGCGGCATAGTAATAGTGATATTAAAAAAAGAAGTTAACTCTAGTAACAATCCACGAATAGACAAAGGGGAGAGAATCTTACACAGAAACTCAAAGTGACGCGCTGAACGTAAATTGATCTTTTATTGTAATTTAAAAAATTTTTGTTCTTTTGATTTGTGGGGTTGGGTAGGGGGATTATTTTACCCACCTGCTGTTAAATGCTACCCTACATTTTAACAGTCCGAAAACTCTTGCTATTATTTTACAAGAATTTAAATCACACACACAGTAGAGGATTACCATTAAGGCCTCACTATTAGTATTAATATTCTTCAAATTAACCAATTTTTATATCGAGGGGTGGCATTTTTAGCAATTCGGAAGGGGGTGGCAAAAATCTTTTCTCGCCCTGGGTGGCACTAACCCCAGCTATGCCAATGCAACCAATGCAAATACTAATAATAAGCTTTCATTAAGAAAATGTATAACTCTAACTTATTTTAAAATCATAAATGGCTTTCTACTTCTAATGGTGTTTAGAATTGCAAATAAAGGTTTAACTAAAAATGTTATTAGACAATTGTAGTTACAGTTCCATTACTCTTTGACTAGAATGAATACTAGATCCTTAATTACAACCGGCTTTTGTTGATATTAATAAATACTTTTCAGGATTCACATTATTTATTATTCCTTCTTTTAAAATTAATTTAAAGTGTTGCTGGTTTCATTAATTATAATTTGTTTGAAATGAGAGTGAAAATAACTCTTTGACTTTTTTTATCTGCAGACATATAACTTCAGAAAAATTTATTCTTGAACCTGTTATTGCATCCAACAAGAAGCCTGAAGTTTTAGTTATTGATCGGGTTACACAGGAAATTACAGTTCAAGGTAATACAATGCTGCAGTCTAGCTTTAGTAGATATGAAATTATTTAAGATAAATATTGTCAGCTCTTCTATAAATGAGTTCATTTTCTTTAAGAATCAGTAATTGATTAAAGTAAAACACTAGCAAGTTAAATTGAATTATATGTATGATCTTTAAAACATTTCAGATAATTTGTTCCATAATACTCAACAATAAAAAAAAATTAACTGATTTAACCAATTATTTATATTTCATCTACCTCAGATTTCATATCTGAAATTCCTGCTACAGCCATTACAAAGTTAACTTATGGAGTTGTTGGTATCATTCGTCTTGTTGCAGGTTTGTCCTTATATTAGAGAGTTACTAACTCTCCATAAGTATTTTTCTTTTTAAATCATTTATTTTTTATAATTAATCCTTTAATTTGTATTATTTCATTATAATACAGATGGCAGAACTTAATTTGTACACGCCACCAAGCACTGAAGTACCAAGATTTCTGTATTGAAAGCCATAGAAGAGGGAATCCAGTATCACAATGATTATGTTGTTGTTCTTATTTTTTTTTCTTCACTTTCTTTTGCATCTTCTTGTTACTTAAAAAAAACAACTATTTGTTATCTTCATTTGCATCTGAATCATCTTTACCATTTTATACAGGTCCTTACTTGATTGTTGTTACCCAACGTGAGAAGGTTGGCACAATTTCAAAAAGTGTCATATGGAAAGTTACAAAGACAGAAGTCTTCAGCTATAAAAGATCCCTTACACACCTCAGTGAAAGACAGGTATACTTGTTATATTAATGTTCATTGCACAAGTTGTGACTTGCAAAGTAACTAGAAATAAATATTTTGAATCATTTAAATATGATTAAATAATTCAACTTATTTCACTCTGAACATCTTGGATAAGCCAGCTTAGTTATCGACTTAATAAAACTAAAACACTTTTTTTTTAAATTTGCCACTAAGAACTAAGCATTGTTAGTAATTTTTGTATTACTGATAGAACAAATAATAGACATTTCAATAGCTAAAATAATCTATCGATCAGTTATTTACAGTGAAGAATTGGCAAGCTTCTGTTAAAGCAGAATTATAAATGCAAATGTATCCTCATTTTAAAAAAAATTCAAATAGTTCTCAAGTAATAAATAAATGGTGCCTATATTTCAAAATAATGCTTTAGTATTTTTCATGTTTTTTTTCCCATATTCTCAAAAAGCATCTATTTTTAAATTCTACAGGTTGCCATCAATAAAAATTACTTGGCTTTGCTAGATGTTATGCTCAACACAGAGAGCTTCTACTACTCACCAACATATGACTTGACACATACCATGCAAAGGCTCTTCAACACAAGCCCTGACTTTCAAACCCTAGCATTACATGAAAGAGTAAGAACGGTAGCGTCTATACTGTTAGTGATCTAACTATTCAAGTCATTGAAACATTTAATTTTTGCCAAAAAACTTCCAGCACCTTTGAGTTTAAAAAGAACCTATTCAGTTCTGTAAGGACGATTTTTATCAAGAACACATAAAGCCACAATCTTTGATGAAAAAAAAATAAAATAAAAATAAAAATAAAGGTCAACATGGTTAATTAACCTTTTCGCTAGCGATGACGTCGACGCGATATCACAATCATCCACTTCAATCACCAAGGACGTCACATTGTCGTCATAACAAAGAGGCAAAGAACTTTTCTAAAATACCAAGGAGGTCACGTCGACGTCATATTTCAATGCTATATATTTCTTTATTTGTCAATCTATAGAGACGTTAAAAAGCGAATCGGATAGAGAATGAAAAAAACACGAAAATTTCTTATTTTTATTGTGGAGTCAGCAAAAATCGATGCCTCCCCCCCCCACAAAACCAATAGTTAGGATCATATATGATTTCACCAGTTAAGATCATTTATGGTTTCACTAGTTGAGATCAAATAATAAGGTTTCTCTAGTTAAGATCATATATTGTTTCAATGGTTGAGATCAAATAATAAGGTTTCACTAGTTATGATCATATTATATGGTTTTGCCAGTTAGGAATGGTTTTACTAGTTATAATCATATAGAGTTTCACTAGTTAAAATCATACATGGTTTTCATTTATTTCAGGCTGATCAGAGATTTGTATGGAATACACATGTTCTGAGAGAGCTCTCACAACAACCTGAACTTTCCAAGTTCTGTATACCAATGGTTTTAGGCTGTATCCTTTAACAGGCATAACTTAAAGCATGCTTAAAACTTCATCATGTTATTTGAAAACTTTGTTGTTTTTTTTTACAAAGCTTAACCTAGTTACGAAATATTTACAATGTACAATGATATAATTTCAACCGATAATATTAATCACAACAGCATTTTGAACTTTGTGGGATATTAGAGTTAGGCCTGTTAATAGCGACTAAGATCACATTTTTTGGCACAATTTGCTTTTTGCTTACATTCATAGAGTTCTCTGTCTCCTCAACCTTACTTTATTTACAGTGTTGTGCAAAGTACTGTCGCTTTATTTTTCGGGAGCTTATGGAAAATGTTTTTAAAAAAACTGCAAAACATGATTATGTATAATTTAAGTTGTAGCTTCGAAGTGGTTTTCCTTAAACTGTTTCTCAGATGTCACTGTGACACCCACAGTGGTTAATGGTAAATCTATAGATTACATCCTGATATCCAGAAGATCCATCTACCGTGCCGGGACACGTTTCAATGTTCGTGGCCTTGACCTCCAGGGCCAGGTGGCAAACTTTGTGGAGACTGAACAGATTGTGCAATATGGAGACAGTGTTTGCTCATTTGTCCAGGTAAAGAAAAAAAGCTTTTGAACTCGACACAAAGTTATACTTTGTTGTCATTTTGGGACAAGTACAATCGATGCAGCTTTAGCAACTGTCGTGCTTGGCATGTACAAAAACTTTTCAAATACTTTTCACCAAAAGTAGATATGTAAAATTATTTTAGGACCTGATTGATTTTTTATGCAGATCTTTACTAGATATTCTAAATTTTCATCCAGAAAACAATATTAACTTTTCTTTAAAAACTAAAAAAAGGTAGGGGCCATTCTGGGACCTAAAAATTATTGCATTACATTTGGTTTCATTTTTACAGTACTAATTGGCAAATCAGCTCTTGTGTGTTAAGTAAAGTAGCCCAACATTTCTTTAAAAAAAAAAAACTCTCTAAAATTTTATATTATGATTGTCTTGTCACTTTGTTTCAGACAAGAGGTTCCATTCCTATATTCTGGTCACAGAAAGCAAATCTGAAGCGTCTTCCTAATCCAGTAGTACTGGAAACTGACCATGTATGTAGAAACATCTTTAATTTATCAAACTGCTATTTATAATTTTCTTTCCCAACTAATCATCTGAGCTGCTCCTTTCATTTACAATCCACCAATGACACACACACGTTTGGCTCAGGCTATCAACAATGGGTTGACAAGTCAGATCTTCAGTTCTACTATTCCAATTCAAATGGGATTGATTATGTGTAGTTTTTAAAAATTACTTTAGTAGATTGACTGACACAATTTCTAGCCAATTCAATCGTGTTTTAATCTGTCAGGGAAATTATATTGTCTCTGTAATATTATACTCCCATACCTTGGTCTTCATATCTCAAGTTTTTTCACCTGAAACAAGCTTTTTTCTTTCTTCATAATTATGTCGAAATAATGATACATTCTCTTTCATTGTATCATGACTATCATGGTTCTGTTTAATTCTCCATGGAAAATGCAATCACTCACCCAGAGAGAACTTAATGCCAAGAATACCAACAACTGGAATACTGCAGTGAGAGATTATTACATTATTACCATTTGATATGTCTTTTTTTTTTTATTCTTCACAGCTGACAGCGTTCCAGAAACATTTTGATCACCAAATCTTCATTTATGGGGATCAGGTGATAGTTAATCTGGTAAGTTAGTGTGTGTTTGCAAATGACTGTGACAACAAGTGCAGGATACTCTGCACTGCTAAGAGAGTGAAATCATTTGGTCAATCAGGGCACTGGATATGTATTATGTTTAAAACCTGAAAGCTGTCATTCTGTTGTTTAGCATCTTATAAAAAAAGAAAGATGATCTCAGTCTCAGTGCAATGATTTTTGTTAACCTCATAAAATGGTAATTGCATTATGTATTCTATAATTTTTGTTAGAAACATGTTTTTAATTTATTCTAATATGGTTTATGATGCCACTTTTCAATGGCCTTTTAATTAATAAATGGCATCCTGTCTTTTGAGAATTTCCTAAATTAAATCACTGTAACACCCTTTGTCTACCATAGCAGTGCACAGCTGAAACTGCTGCACACTGGGTGACACTCTAATAGAAGAGGAAGGAAAAAAATCTCCCATAAAAAATTCCATCCATCCCTGTGGCGCTACAGCCCATGTAGGGCTTTGGCCTGCCTCACCACACCCTTCCACTCAGACCTGATGATTTTCTTTCCATGCTTGGATTCCCAGCTGCTGTAGATCCCTCTCCAGATCATCCATTCATCCAGGGATGCCTTTGAGCCGTCTTTCTGCCATAGCAGTGCATAGCTGAAACTGCTGTGCATTGGATGCCACTCGAAGAAAAGAGGAAGAAAAAAATCTCCCATAAATAATTAGAGGGAAAAATTTTGAAGAAATAAATGTTTAAAAATCGCTTGTGCTAATTATGTATATGAAGTAGCTGGGAGAAGTGGGCCCAACGCATTACATGGTGCAGATTGCAATAAGACTAACCTTATATCATTTCATTAATCACTTCATTCCAATTTTGTCCACCTCAGATCAACCAGGAAGGGCCAGAACAAGTGTTGGAGAAGAAGTTGTCCCAAGTAGTCACCTCAGCACAGAACAAAAATATTAGGTGAGAGGCCTTTTCTATAATAATGAAAATTTATAATAGTTCATTTGGCTTATACTATCATACTATCAGATAAATAGGTAATTCAGCATCTAATGATACAACAGTATTAAACTGCATGTCTACTTGAACTTTATAGAACTTTAGAGGTTGGTTCTTTTTCTATGGAAAACAAATTCACTGTAGCATTAACATTTTATTTATCTTTACCACAAGTTCAACTCATGCCTCACAAGGTTTATGGAATTCCACAAATAATTTTTATTCAATATGTATGGAATGATAGCGCCTAGCCAAGACATATGACTCTGTCCCTTGTCATGAAACTGTTATCTATGACACTAAGATAGATTTTTTGCAGGGATAATAAGAGTGACAATTCTTATTTGTCTGTAAATATTACAATGATAGATTTCTACAAGATCTTAAACAGCATTCACCTCCATTCGGAATTTACATCTTTTTGTCAAATTTCAACATCTTAGGTGTCTTCTGTCAATAACTAAAATTTTGTGAGATAACACACAAGGTTATTAATTCTTTTGAAACCCGTGTTTCAGATATGAACCTTTCGACTTCCACAAAGAGTGTAAGAAAATGAGGTGGGACAGACTGAGCATTTTAATGGATAGACTTGAACCGGACAGAAAGAAATTTGGGTAAGACCATAATGACATGTTACTAACCATCACAGCTGTTCTTTACACAACTTTGGTGTCAACATTCACATCATGTAAAAAAAAAAAAAATTGTTTTTTTAATTTAAATTTCTGGATGAAAGTCTCGGCTGCCTGAGTCTTTGTCGTTTCCCTTATCTTAGAAAGGTTGCCACCCAAGTTTACCATACACTTCCTGCAGAGATTGATTTATTAAGGCACCAATGATTTCCCGTAGATTGTAGCAACAACTTTCCTGCCTTGCCCTTTAAGACCATGCAGTCCATCTATCTGTCTACTATTTGAAGAAGTTTGATAATTTGATACACAGTAGTTTACCCAAGAGCTTAGTTTATTGAATACTTTTGATGATTCCTTAGATTACGTGAACTATGAAAAGCAATAGCAATATTTCTTATGACTTTAATGGAATGATCCAAGTTGAACAGAGCATTTTCCACATCACTCAGGTATTTCTTACAGCGTGGGGAAGCAGTATTAATGACTCAGAGTGGTGTCTTCCGCACCAATTGTATTGACTGTTTAGACCGTACCAATGTTGTGCAGAGTTTGATAGCAAAGGAGGTCCTCATAGATCAATTTGTGGTTTGTATTGACTGATTTGTTTTTTTTCAAACTGAAATAAACCAGATGCATTTAATTTATTGCTTTTCCAACACTTTAATAATATGCTTACCATTTCTTTTTGGTAACGTAAATATTTTATTGATTCATTTGGTTTCCAAAACTATACTGATTTGTTAAAAGAATTTTAAGGCAGGTCATAGCAGTGAGCATAGTTAAAAAGAAGTTAATATTTAATCCCAAGATATCGTAGGTTTAGAACTTAAATAAAATTGTTTTTTAATTACTTGTTTTTTAAAATGAATTAGACTTTCATCGGGAAATCTAAGAAACATTTTACTTTCTTCACATATAATTCTCAATGTCTATAAATGCAAATTTTAAAATAACAATTTGTTTTTTCTTAATTACCTGTTTTAACTTGTCTTGCCTGTTTTCAAATTGAACTTAATTTAGCATGACCAGTGTCTGTCCTAACACTTTTTAGGCATTATTTGTCGAATTTCCACTTTTCTAGAGAGCTAAAAATGTAGTTTTCACAGTCTCACAGTGCATTTTAATCTATTAATGATTGGTGAATGCTCAATTTACCTTTTTTGAAATATGTTACAGCTTAAAATGCTATAAACAAGTAAGAATTTACATGGCCGCCAGTGTAAAATAGATAACGAAAATAAAAGTAATATACCTTCAATACTGTACAAGTACCTAGAGAAAGTAACATCAGCAACATCTGACTTAACCATTTTCTTGTAATCTGAACATTGTGAGTCAGTTCCAGTAAAATGTGTTGCTTTTATCAAAATCCAATGTATTAAGAGGTTTTTGCAGCGACCCCCCTCCCCCAATGGTATTCTGTTTATTTTGGTTGGTGTTATTTTCACCTATTGATTGTGTTTTATTTCAATTGCAGAAACTTGGGATCATAGACCCTGCATATAAATTGAAGGATGAAACACGTTTTGATTCAGTTTTCAAAAATGGTAAGCAAGATGATTACTATCAGTTTGACAGTTGTATTTCATGTAAAAAAAAAAAAAAAAGATATGCCATGTATTATTCTCTCAAAATAATTTTTTGTAAAAGGAATGATAATTAATCTAATTGTTAAAAAAAAAAGCCGTCAAAAAAAATTTTTTTATTTAAAATATTAAAAAAAAAAAAACACGTTTTGATTCAGTTTTCAAAAAAGGTAAGCAAGATGATTACTATCAGTTTGACAGTTGTATTTCATGTAAAAAAAAAAAAAAAAGATATGCCATGTATTATTCTCTCAAAATAGTTTTTTGTAACTGGAATGATTATTAATCTAATTGTTAAAAAAAAAAAGCCGTCAACAAAAATTTTTTTCTTTAAAATGTTTAAAAAAAAATTTTTTTTTAGTATGGGCAGATAATGCTGACATCATATCAAAAGAATATGCAGGAACTGGAGCACTGAAAACTGACTTCACAAGGTAAAAGTTGAGGATATTTTCTAACAAAAAACAACAAATTATCACTGCAACTAATGTATGATCTGTGACGTTTTTAAAAATAAAAACTTAATACCCAAACATAAACACACTCGGTGACTATAAAACATGAATAAAAATATAAGATAAAATTGTTTTAACAAAACTAAGTTTCCACTCATCCTTGGAAGAAGTTTTCTCATCTGTATAGAACAATTAGTTATTACCTGTAAGCAACAAATTAAATTTAAAACATTGCTTATTTGATTTTTGCACACATATTATAATGACTTGCTTTGTTTTTGCATTGAATTCTGAATGTTATTTTCCATCAGGACTGGTAAGCGAACTATATATGGTGCTTTGCAGGATGGTTACAATTCTGCTGTGAGGTATATAAAAAACAACTTTCAGGATGGGGGCAGGCAGGTGAGGCTTCAGATACCAGCACAATTTAGGACAGTTGTGACAATAGATTAATTTTTTAGATTAAATTTTTAATAGGATAAGAAATTCGCAATTAAGGTGGCTAAATGTCTTGATAAATGGGAATGTAACAACACACCTTGTTTATTATTTACAGGACACAATTTTTTACAGAGATTTATATAATATACCACCTGTGCGGTGTCAGTGAGAAGCAAAGTTTAAAACTTATAAAGGGATAATTTTTGTTTCTTCACTCAACAGTGGCAAATAATAATTGTCTTATAGTATAGAAATAATTCCTCCCATGACTTTTTTTTCTCTCTTTAAATCTCTGCATAGGATGCAATGGATCTCTTTCTAGGCAATTATCTTGTTGAAGAGAATGAAGGACTTACACTCAAATCTCCTTTAGATTCTTCCAGAGATTGGAAATATTATGCTGTAAGCTATTCCTTTGTGTGTTAACTCAATTTAACTAAATGTAAAACGAAAAAACTCTTTTCTGTATTCAATATTAGATAAGTTTATTAGAACAAATTGTTGCTGTACATCATCATATTATGATTCCTCTGCAGGTTCCTGTGATCTTAATTGTGGCTTTTTCCATGTTCATGGTCAGTGTGCTATTGCCAGATGGTAAGTGCCGATATAAATTTAAGTTGTCATACTTTCACTGTTTGGATCAATAACTTTTTTTTAATAGAAATTTCAGATTGTTTTATTGTTGTTTTTTTTTTGTTTTGGTTTTTTTTTAATGTTTTTTTTTTTTAAAACGGGCTTGAATTGTTTTGTTTTTTTTAAAATTAAAAATTTCATTTTTTAAAAAACAGTTTAAAAAATTAGTTTTTTTATTTTTTTTTTATTAAAATTTTTGTTTTTTTTTTTTTTTTTTTTTTTTTTGTTTTGGTTTTTTTTTAATGTTTTTTTTTTTTAAAACGGGCTTGAATTGTTTTGTTTTTTTTAAAATTAAAAATTTCATGTTTTAAAAAACAGTTTAAAAAATCAGTTTTTTTGCAGGGTGGTGGTGGTTGGGGGAAGTTGCAATTTAAAAGGGTTTTAAGATTTTGAAGATATTATTTTAGTTAAAGCTTAAAAATAAAAGATGAATTTCCCTTGCAGCTATGTTTTTGAACTCGCATACAATTCCCTTTTATATTTCAATGATACATAATAAAAAATAAAATTAAAAATTAAACAAAGGAAAATAAAAAGGACTGAATATGTCAAGAATTTATTTGGCCACAAAATCATTAGGCACACTAGTAAAATGTTTTCTAAATAACACACAGGTGGGAAGAGACTTAAAAGAGTGAGTAACATCATTGAAGAATGGCAATTCTTGTGTGTTCATTCCTTTTGTTTTTCTCATCAGCCCTGAAAGAAAATAAAGATCTAATCTTAATTTATTTCATCAAGCATGTAGTGATGTTGTCTTTTGAAAGCAATAACATGTTAATGGCATTATAAATATGTTTTAAACCAATTCACTTGGGAAAAAAAAAGAACACAGTTGCTGTTCTTCAAGTGATGTTTTCTGGAGACCTACCACTATAATTCCTTGATATCAGATACTGATATCATATCTTTTGGTTAAGGAAGCAGTGTTTAGATTGCAAAAGCAACATATTTCAGGGCTGTGCTTGTTCACATTTTTTGTAGTTCTGAAAATATTTTCCACGACTGAATCAATTTGAATATTTTTATTTATTTGTTGCTTTTTATTGAGCCTTTTATTATTTTGGCATCATTTTTTTAAAAAATAATATTTTTAAAGACCCGTTCTTAAATACTAAAACTGACTATACTCAATATAATTTCATTAAACTTACTTGCTTGTTCTGCTTTGCAGTTTTATTTATTGAATGTCAAACTTTATTTGCTACTTTTAATACATCAGTTATTTGACTGCTCTGAATGTGCAGCCAATGTTCAAATTCAGATCTGCCATACAAATAGATTTTGAAATAAGTTCAAATTATAATATCCTGATCCAGCTACACCTGTGACTTAAAACATCTGTTATAATAAATTTATCATGGGATATATGAAAAATATATTGTTATCATAATAAACAATGACTTGATTGTAAAAACTGTTCTGGAAAGTGCATTTCTGGAATGTCGATAACAATCAAACTTGAATTATTTCTCATAATAAAAAATATTTCAATTTTAATTTTAAAAATTCATTTTTTTACTTTAAGACAAATTTCAGAGACAAACTCTAGCATTGCCATATTTTAATGTATTTAATTTCAAATATTTATGGATAAATTAATCTTTGCTTCTTATATTTACTTTCTGTGATTACATAAGGCACGCTTGGTTACATATTTACCATTTTGGACAATTTTTAGCCTTTAAAATAATTGAAAGTAAAACTTTGTTTACAATTTTTTAAAAAGCTTTTCTGTCATTTTAGAAAAGCAAAGAACAAGCATGTATGATTTTGAGGTAAATACATTTTGTTTCCAAAAATTCATGTTTCTTTAAAAAAAATCTTTTCACAGAGCATCTAAGTGAACAGATGATGTATGTTCTGTTCTGGGGAATAGCATCTGTCATATCATTGTTAATCCTCTTCGTTTTCGGGACCATCTTTGTGGATCAGCCCAGACTTACAGGAAACAAATAGCTATATGGCAACTCCATTTACATTGTTTGACTAATAAACGCAGTCATTTCTTACAAGCTCACCCAAAGGAAGTTCCTTGCGAACCAAATTGTTGTCACCCGAGTTAACATATAGAAACATTTTTAGTTAGATCTTGAAGTTAGGAAATGCATTATGTAATAATATCATTGGTGAATTGAAAACATCTCAATCAATATTGATTTTTAATGCTGACTATTAGATGCATGAAACACCATTGAGTCTAATGAGGTTTTCAATGCATGTATCCGACCAGAGTATAGATCATTAGGGCATGTGCTCACTTCTGCCTGTTTTTTTTTTGTGGTGTTTTTTTGTTTGTTTTTTTGTTTTGGAAAGCACTTTTGAAGTTATGGACATCCTATTGTTAATGGATCCTAAAAATAGCAATGTCCTACAAATAAGTACTTTTGGTGCACTGCTCCATCATCTCACCCTTTCAAACCTTTTCCCAAGTTTTTTCCCCATCATTTAAACAGCTAGAAAAAAATATTTGTCCATTCATTGATATCAGGAAGCCATATTTCTGCTACTAATAAAATGTTGAATTAACTTTGGACTTGAGAGTAACTTTTATTTTACTTGGTATAGGGGTTTTCTTTTTGTAACCCCCAAACTTGTCTTTAGCCATTAGTAATGCATTTTATGAAATGCTGCTGGGTCTGCGGGCAAGTTAGATTTGCAATAATCACATTGATTCTGTAACCTTCTATTTTCAAAGAACTTTCTAAGGTTTCTTTTGTCTACGTGTTTATAAAACTGGACTAGTTGACCTTGCTTGCCTGTAGATATTTGGTCTCTTTTTTAAAAAAATGCTTAATTATATCAGAACTAATTTTTTTCATCTTTGGTGTAGTGGGTTTAATATTTGGGGAGGTGCATGTTGGAGAACACTAAGTAGAGATTCTAAAACATGTTTTTTTTAAATTTCTCCCATTATTCCCCATTATTGATTTCCAATGTAGGAAAGCTTTCCTGAATGTCTTATGGTTTACGAATGTCTACAAATGATAGAAAGAACTATAAACAGTTTGCTTTACTTAATTTCTAAATCCAACACAATTAATTTTTAAGAACCCATTTATCCCTCGTGATATTTAGAAGCTTTTCAAAATCTTCCACCTCCATTTTATAACTTAAATTTGTATAACACTTTCTGCTCAAAACTGCTTCGAACTTGAACAGAAAGCTGAGATTTTCATTGTTCAAAAGACATATCCTTTAGATTCTTTAAATTTTAATGTTCCAGTCCTGGCCACAACAATACTGTCACACTTTGACATTTATGTATTCATAGCTTTCTTCTGCACATATTTAGTATGTCATTTATAAATTATGATGTCCACAAATTTTGGGGGTGGACTGTGTAATATAGTACGATAAATGATTTTTAAAAATATGTACCGGTTATAAAGTTTACAGAATATATGTAAGTAGAACTGTATAAGTATATGCTCATCTAATTTATTTATTAATGCTATGTTTTTTTTAAATAAACTAGTGATCATGTAAAAAAAAAATTGTATTTTAATGCCACTATTGGGAGTAGCCATTTCTTTGGCTCTATTGTCAATATTACAAACATTGATAAACTTAGTTGTCAGTCAATATGCCCATTGCCAATGTTATAAAATATATACATATTTTAATCAAATTAATTGCCGTTTTATAAATAAAATGATTATTTCACACTTATGACATGTTTGCTGACCCAGAGTCTATGTCAACGAAATATTGAGAAGTGAACACGTCACTCAAAGATCTTGAGTGGGTGCTGGAGAATTTTCCTTTCATATTATTTTTAAACCTTTTATTTAACTTGGCATGACAGATGTCCATTTGTATTTAATCGTACTCCCTACGTCTCGGAGAGTTCAAAGTTTGACACACATTTTAGTCTTGCAAGATTTGAATCTATTAAAATTTGATGGATCATCTGATGACATGCATGTTATGAAGTCAAAATTTTGGTTAAAGTTAAACATAAAACATTGAGGAAGTGTTTCAAATGTAAACAAAAAAGGGAATTAAATTTCATTTTTGTTAAGTCGCATGCTCATGCTGATGTTTAAATAAAATGTTGGACCGAACCAAAATATAATCATTAAGTTTTTACATTTATTTGTTCATGAGTAAAATTAAAATGGGATTGTGATGTGTATGAGGACCTATGTTTTTAACCATCTCCATTTCATTCTATTTTTGACAGCTTTCCACATAAGCAAATAACAAAGTTTAGTTTTTATTATTTTACTCTTTCCTTCTCCCTTATAATACATGCAAATTTGATCTGACATTTAATGGGATTTAGAGATGAAGAAATTTGGCTACTGCTCTATAGCAGTGCATAATTTAACAAAGTTGTTTTTTTTTCTTTCTTTCTTTTTAACTGCTGAAATATTCAAAAAAATATAACATAACTCTGTAACATTGACTGTCACACAAATATTTTTTAATTTTGTGCTGTCTCTGTTTTTCACTGAGAGAAATATCTAGGACCCAGATTATTTGGTAACATTTGCAAAATTTCTCATAGTTAGTTTTTATGTTTGCCATCTGTTGTATCAAGATGTTCTTGAGCTATTTAGATATTTAGCACAGTAAAGTATTACCTCCTTTACATCAATGCCTAATTTAATATTAAAGAATCAGTTCTGCTACCTAAAATGCTGTTGACATTTTTACGACTAAATTAGCAAATAATTTGTAAAGTAAAAGGTTCAACTTTGGGTAACAGCAGTCTTTTTAAAAACAGTAGGAGGCAGGCATTTAATTGAGACAATAAAACCAGGGGGACCATGCACTCTCAAATTACAGTTAAATAAGCTGTGCAAAATGAAAATGAAAGTAAATAAATACAGAATTTTACAAGAATCACCCAGCACAACGGACACGACCAAACAAATGTTCATGAATCAAGCTGGTAAATCAGTGTAACTGATGTAAAATAACCAGAGAGGATCAGGTGTTCTAATTGGATAAAATAAATCCAACATGTTGTACTATCCAGTTCAGCTGTTTTCCAACCAGTCGGTCACCAGTAAGAGCTGATATGACTCCATTTTCAAAAATTGTATGAGCAGACCTCATTTTTTAAATAAAATGGGATTTTTTAAAAAGAAAATTGTGTTGATCTGTGCTTGCATCTCTTTTATGTAGTGTGTTTTTGACAAAAATGACAGGAAGAATTAAACAGAAATTGCTGCATATAAACATGTGTACATTTTGATTTTGAGACATGCCATTTAAATTTTTTTAATGCTTTGAGATCCAATGGTTGTGGAGATTTTTCATCATTTCTTTTTATGCCAGTGGATTACATTTGTCAGAACTGTTTTAAACTAAACAGAAGGGTTTTTAATTGAGCTGCACTGGTCTCAATAAGGTGAAAGTGTGTAAGTTCAGTGAAAGTTTAGCTTTAACGAGTGTGCGATGGGTAATTTAAAAGTTAAAATTGTAATCAACTGTATTTACATAGGTGAGTTCCATAACACTACTTAAACATTATTTATTTTAACATATCTACTTTTGTTGGCTAAGATGCCTTATTTCATGAATTGTACAAGTGGCACACTGTTAACTTTAACATTTGAGAATGCTTTACACTATATGGATCCATTGGACATGATTTATGTTGTGTATAAATACATAAATGCCAATTTCATTATGTGTTACTACAATGAAGTTAAATGATAGTTCAATGGCTTGCTGTCATTTCTTCTGACATTTGCACTTTCTCCAGTACTGTTTTTTTTTTCTTCCTCTTTTTTTTTTTCCATTATTATTTTTGCCTCTTTTGAGACGGTTATTTAAGTTTAAGTTATTCAAATTTATCATTTAAACAAAATCTTATTTTTTTTAGTTTTAGTTAAATTCAATCTATGTTATTTCTCAATAAAATAATTAATTTATAAGAACACCCCCAGCAACCAAGAACTCAGTGTAGAAGATAAGTGAAACATTGATTTGAGCTTTGAAACCATCTTAGGTGTAAGAGTAAGAGCAATGAATCTCTTTATCTCTTACTCAGTTTAAGGTAAGATATTATATGAAATCCTTCTCTGGAAGGTGGGAAGAGAAAAGGCTATTTAATTTATCTGTTGTTCCTTGGCTAAAGCTTTGTCATTTATTTATGCAAGCAAGAATGCTTGGCAATAAATGAAAGCAATTGAGAAATAATTCTTCTTCTTCTTCTATGTCTTAAGGGCCCACGATCAATTTATTGATCATTTTGGATTCTATGCATGTAGATGGGATTTGCAATGTTTCTGTTCCTGGTGGTGATGAGGAAATTTCACAGATTTCCAGTGCCACTTTGTGAGGGAATCATGCACTAGGGGTTTGAAGGCTTCAGGCAATAGACACAAATGTGTCTAGTGTTGTCGCCTCAACCGTTCCTTTTGAAAGATTGTTCCATTCCCTGATTGTCTTTGGCAGGAATGAGCAGCTCCTGTACTGGCTTCTTGCTGGTATGAGCCTGAATTGCCTGTCATGGCCTCGTCGCTGTCTATGGGGGAGAGGGACGAGTTTCTGTTTAATACCGGAACAGTGGACCAGCCCATTATTTATCTTGTACATCATGGAGAGCCTGGATTGTCGTCGTCGTTTCTCCAATGGTGACCAGCCTAGTGTTTCTAGCATGCTGCCAACACTTGAGGTATTCCTGTAGCGGTTTAGGACAAAGCGTGCTGCTCGTCGCTGGACCGCCTCCAACCTGTCAATGCTCTTCTGGGTAAATGGGTCCCAGACTGAAGATGCATAATCTAAAATCGGACGGATAAAGGCTTTATATGCTCTTTCTTTCACACAGGAGTTGCCAATCTTTAGATTTCGCCTTAAGAACCCCAAGGCTTGGTTTGCTTGGTTACATACATTGTTAATATGCTCGTCCCAGCGGACCTCTCTTTGAATGGTAACACCCAGGTACTTTACGGAGGAAACTTGCTCAAGAATATGGCCGTGCAGTTTGTATTGGTAGTGTAGAGGAGTACAACTTCTAGAGATTGATAGTGTCTGGCACTTGGCAGGGTGAAATTCCATGTCCCAGCTCATCTCCCACTCAGCTAACAGATTGAGATCCTGTTGTAGCTGGTCCTGGTCAGATCTGTTGGCGATCGTCCTATACACTGCTGTGTCATCTGCAAACAGTCTTGCCTGTGATGTCAGTTTCTCCGGTAGGTCATTAATGTATGCTAGGAACAAACAGGGGCCCAGGACTGATCCCTGGGGGACCCCTGACTTCACATTGACAAAGGAGGAGCTTGTACCGCCCACCACTACTGCTTGGCGTCGGTGGCTGAGGAAGCTAGAGATCCATGTTTTAGTGGTGCCTTGAATCCCATATCTCTGGAGTTTGTGTAGAAGCAAACTATGATTCACACGGTCAAATGCTTTTGCGAAGTCCATTACTAGCACGTCAGTCTGCTTGTGGTTCTCCAGATTGGTCATCAGGTCTTCTACAAATTCGAGAAGCTGGGTCTCACATGATCTATTTACTCGGAAGTCATGCTGACAGTCATTGAGTATATTTTGGCTTTCAAGATGCTTCATGAATGTGCTTACGATTATGTGCTCTAACAGTTTTCATAATGTTTTCTGTCATAAATAAAGTTGTTGCTTTAGGCAGCTTCACCAAAAGGTTTGCAGTGCGTCTTTTACACATTATCATTCCCTTGTGATTTTATATTTCAATAAAATTTGTTTAGATCAATCAATAAACTCTCCTTTCTCCTGCTATTTCTCAGTCAACTTTATGTTTATGCCGGTAGTGTAGTAGTAGTAATATTTTAATTGCCTCTGGTATCCATACATTGGATATCTGAATACTTCTCACATAAGTAAGACGGATGACATTGAAACATTAATTAAGTTTGTGGGCAGAATAAACACTTCAAGGACTGTCTAAAAGTATCACTCAAATCCATTGACATTGACCTTGATTTGTGGGAGAAACTTGCTATGGACTGTGCCAGCTGGCGTGGAAAACTCACAGTCCGAGCACAATCCTCAGAGAATAAGCGCAGCAAGGAACAGCAGAATTGACTCAAATCCTACCGGGACCCAAAACATGTGTCCCATTTGTGGGAAAGCTTTCCGAACACAAATAGGACTTGTGCTTCTAGGCCGCCCATGAATTCACCATGTAATACAGTCTTGGTCATCTTTGCATGTGAAGGACAAGCAACAACAATTGGATTTTTTTCTTAATCGTTTGGATGGCTTTATTGAAATGTAATCTTTCTTCACTTTTCTTGAGAAGAAAAACAAAAACACTATCAGACTACAACCTAAAAGTTTAGTAAAAGAAAAATAGGTATTTTCCATTGAAGTTGAAGGCTTTCCTAGAACAAGGGTTCCCAATAACATTGATTACTTTTCAGGAGGTCCAGCAGCCAAACAGTGTTATATACAGAGCATTAAAAAAAATTCTTGTTATGAAAGGCTACCTTTTATTTTTTTCAAAGGATAATTATATGTGCACTTTCAAACTACTGTGTGCATTGGTTTAAAGGTTCTATGTGTGCAAACACAGCATAGGAGTAGCATTACAGCCTAACTCCAGTCTGAAACCATAAAGTCTAGAATATAGGAATATATACTATACCGTGTATTAAGTTTTCTTCAAGGTTCTTTTCAAAAACCTTTTGGAGAATACACACACATAAGAATACACACACAGATATATACAACTAAATAGCCCAATTTCATCGCTATGTGCGTGACTCAAATTTAAGTAATGGTTGTGCTGCCATGTCTTCCCAGGGATTAGAAAGAACATCTCATTGAATGTTCTCATTTGGAAGGCCAAGCTTTTGCTGAAGCTAAATTTTCTCATGAATCGTTTTCATCGTTATTCTCAACAAGGTTTGTAAAGCTTCGTGTCGTATTTGTATCCTTTAAAACATAAAAAAAAAAAAAATCAAAATTAATTGATAAACAGGTGAAAATAAGTGTTGTAAACTTTATTAACTACTTTAAATGTAGGTGTTTTTCACTCTGGTATAATTATAAACTGATTAAAAATACTGTAAATTTTCGGACTGATCGTACAATGGGGGACAGGATGGTGACATGCTGTAACATCCACTTGATGCTCCTTTGGGTCCACCAGCTGCTTTGAGAGGGAAGGATTTGCTGACTGGGAACCACACCATTGTCTTCTTGAGACTGATGGATGCCAAAAAATTGTACAGCTCATGACAACCTGGTCAAACAGTCAAATGAGCTCACTTAGGCTATAACTCTAAAGACTCTTTATTAAGATTAAGAACACAGCTAATGTAGTTATTTTTGAAACATTTTTATATGATACAGTTTTAAAGAGAAAATAAGATAAGATTCTTTTATTGATCCAAACAAATGGAAATGTTTTATTATTGCATTGTACATTTGCAGCACATAAATAAAACAATTTAAAACAAGACATTTGTAATAAATTTTTTTCACTAGCAGCCATTCCGTGAGTTCTCTTAGTCATATCAGGGACTTATTAGTTCTCATTAAGATTTGTGACTTCAGGGGGAGCACACTGGTAAATTCGTACAGATTGGGGAACAAAATAATTTTTATATCTTTCAGTCCTCGCCCTAACGGAAAGAATTCGTCCCGAACGGGCCGATCCTAAGTATCTGTGATGAAGAGGGTTGGATGTATCATCCAAAATGTGTTTAGGTTTACAATAACATCTTTCTTCAAATAGTTCTTCCAGTAAAGGATGTTTAGTTTGTGTTATGTAACTAGTTTTCTTGATTAGTCGGTTTATGCGGTGTTTAATATCAGACGTTGTATTCCCACACCAGCAGATAATAATGAAATTAAAATGTTGACCTCTCTGAAAAAACATAAGAATTAAAGACCAATTTTCATCTTAAAATAAAAATTCATATTCCATTTTAAGCGGATCATGTATTCATTAATTATTCATCAGATTCTGTAATCTGGTGGTAGGGTACTGTGACAGAAATGATGTATTTTTTATTTAATTACCTTTTTTTTTTTTTGGAGGGTTGGAGAGAGCAGGAAAATTAAATTGGAATTTTACCATGTTTCATTACTGTATAGTATGTGTCAGTTTATATTATAGTATAGCAACTCCATACTCGGTAACGAGTTCAACTTGAAGTCATCATTTGACATTTGTACCATATTTTCATGTACGGATTTGAAAAGAGGAACTTAAGGGGACACTACTCAAAAGTTAAATTATCATCACATTTAACATCTGTAGTACAGTACTGCATACAAATATACATGTAACTGTTATTATACGCACACTAACCTTTATATCGCAATGAAAGTCATTTAAGTTTTGCGTTTTTTCGACGAATAAACGATAAAGCTTTAGGTCTAGCAACTTTAAAAAAAACAGTGAGTCTAATTATATTATGATTTTAAAAATCTAGCTCAGGATAATTTATTATAATTTATTATTGTTAATTAAAATTTATTTTATTATTATTTTATTATTCATCCTCATTCAACAACTTCAATCAATGAATGACAATTTTAGAATTTACGAAGTACCCAAAATTTTCAAAGCTTACTTCTTCTTACTTTAATTTAAGTCCTAA